TATCTTACTCTTATAAGATGCTATGAGGTGTGGGGTTTTTTTTACATTGTTGTATGTAGAAAAAGCTAAATAAACACCTGTTCCTTGTAGACTGAAATTTGTGTTATTAGAACTCACTTCTTACATTGAACTCTCTTAAATTTTGGCTATGATGGAAACTTTCTTTTCTTCTTTTAATGACTTAAATTTTCTCATCTGTTCCACATGCTGAGCAATACCTTTCCCTGAAAGATATCATATTTTTCTAATGTTAAAATAACTGTAGACTACAATTTCAGTCTTGAAGAGTGGATACAGCATTACAGTTTATTCTATTATGGTGCTTTAAATTACAGCATCAATTTAATTTAAGAAATTCAAGAGAACAAAATGCAATATAATTTCATTGAAGGATATGTGAGCTTCCACAGGTTTTTATTGCTTAAATCACAAGTGAACAAAGTTTCTGGATTGCAAACAGTTTCTGTTGTTAATTTTGTTATTCATTTACTATATATCTGTTTGTGTAACATAGTGCAAGGCACACTCAATGATACTCCCTAATCTCAGTAGGAACATGTAATTAAAACCAGCAGTATATTCCTTTGAGCTAGCTATCTAATAGTAAGCTAGAAGACATTAGTGCCTTTTTAAAAATATTCTGCCCGAGTGTGCAGGTCTGAGAGCTGGGGCATGATGTTCTTTCTGTATTTGCTTTCCCTGTCAAGGACTAAATCTATAATATGGAAAACTGTAGTGTGCAGTTATCTTGGACTCTCCTAATCCACCATGAGACCGTAACGGTGTTGCTTGTGAAAAGGTGGGTGTTTGGGGGGGGATATAGATTTTAGTGTTTAGGAGGGAGACTGATTTTTGCCTGATTTGAGGAAAGGCTTTATAAAAAGAGAGGGGGAAACAAGAGAAAGGAAGATAAATTAGTGGTAACGTCACAGTGTATGAGCTAGCGGGAATTCCGGTGCATTTTCTTGAGTTTGTTGTGTTGTTAATAATGCATGATAGTGTGACTGATAATGCTCTCAAATTGTGTCTCAGGTTATAGCCTCCTCCAGTGTCCACTGATATAAATGGAAAGGGCCTCTGTTGGTTTCAGTGGGTTTTGGATGAAGCTTTGAATCACTTTGTACTTCCTGGAAGGCTTTCTTGTTTGAATGAAAGGGTTATTGTGCACTGTTGTTTTTTTCCCCTCTTTCTTATTTCTGTGCTGAAAAATAGATTCTGAATCCTTGTACTGTTGAAACAATTCCCTTCATAAGTGTCCATTGTTGGAAGAGAGGTGCAGGCACTTCAGCTGGTGGGTGCAGGGGTGGGCAGCGGGACGGTTCCCCAGCACGGTGACGCCGGGCACAGCGGGTCTCTCCAGGGCTCGCCTGCATCAGGGCTGCCGGAGCCCAGCCGGCATGATGTCATTGCCGCCCCGCGCCGCAGGGAGCCGGCGGTCGCTGCCAGGGCCCCCGGGGATGCTGCCGGCAGACTTTGTTCTCACCAAGCTAATGAAATTGTGTGTTTCAGGTATTCAACCTTAACACTGATGATACAGCGTTTTCTGCAGGCTTAGAAATGAAGCATAAGATCGTGAATTGATGCTCAGTCTCGTTACTTTGCTGGAAGAGACACCTCTGATAGCATTTTTCCTTTGTATGCTGGAAGCTTGCTGAATAGCGCAGCTGTAACAGTTTTTCCTGAAAAAGTTGGCTGACTGGTGGAAAATGCACAGTGTGTGTGTGTATATGTATATATATATATGTATGTTTGTTTTCTTTGACTATCGTGAGAAATACTGTATCTAGGGCTTTGTAGTTAGCATGGATTAAAGATAGCATGTCCTCTATTGCTAGGGATTTTTAATACCCAGATTCAAATGATGTGGTTATCTAGGCATCCGTTCTTATTTTGATAATTGTGTTTCCACTGACCTGTTAAAGCAGACAGAAAAAATGTATTAGTTGGTAGTAAATAAAAACAACTGCCCCCTGTGCCCCCGACATTTTGATCTTATTTAAGCTTCATCCAGTGGCAGCATGTCCTCTATTGCTAGGGATTTTTAATACCCAGATTCAAATGATGTGGTTATCTAGGCATCCGTTCTTATTTTGATAATTGTGTTTCCACTGACCTGTTAAAGCAGACAGAAAAAATGTATTAGTTGGTAGTAAATAAAAACAACTGCCCCCTGTGCCCCCGACATTTTGATCTTATTTAAGCTTCATCCAGTGGCAGTTGCTGAGCAGGACAAGAGGGGAGCTGAGGCTCACTTCCACATTTCCAGGTGGTGTTGATGTGCCGGAAGGGATGGCAGAAATCTCTTAAGTATGCTGCAAAGGCCTGTTACAGGTAAATCTCCTTCACAGAGGAAATTGCAGAATGGTTGAGGTTGGAAGGGACCTCTGGAGGCTCTCGGGTCCAACCCCCCTGCCCAAGCAGGGCCACCGGTTGCCCAGGACTGTGTCCAGACAGTTTTGGAATGTCTCCAAGGCTGGAGACTCCACAGCCTCAGTTTTGGAATGTCTCCAAGGCTGGAGACTTCACAACCTTTATGTTGTTGTCTTTATATCACAGCCTGTGTATTTATATACATTGACAAAAATTCCTCCCCGAGCTTTCTCTTCTCCAGGCTGAACAGTCCCAGCTCTCTCAGCCTTTCCTTGCATGAGAGATGCTCCAGTCCCTTGATCATCTGTGGCTGGACTCTCTGCACTGTGTCCATGTCTGCCTTGTACGAAGGAGCGCAGAGCTGGGTGCAGTACTCCAGCTGTGGCCTCGCCAGTGCTGAGTAGAGGGGAAGGATCACCTCCCTCAGCCTGCTGGCAGGGCTTTGACTAACGCAGCCCAGGATGCCGTTCACCTTCTTTACAGCAAGGGCATAGTGCTGGCTCATCGTCAGCTTGGTGTCCACCAGCAAATAATGAAATACATCAGCTACCAAAATCTTCTGTGTGTTATATAGCTTATTGTCATAGTGCTGCATTGTGATAGGATTTCTTAATTTAGGTTGTATGACTGTGCCCTGGAAAGGTAATGAGAATGAAGTTGTGCCTCATCTCATCTGTCAACTGATAACATCTTTCCCTTATGTGTTGGGTGAGTTAGATGTTATCTGAATGATGGTGGTAATACTTGCACTATATGGAACTGCTGGAGGTTTTGTTCTACATTCTTTTTCACTAAGTATTTTGTTTTCTTTTCCTCTTCTGTGGTGTGTTAGTTTTTAACAAACATTTGTCAATAGAGTTTGTTTATTATGGAGTGGCAAAACAAAGGATCGACTTGCCATTGCATTGCACTTATGTGTAATTGTAATCTGGGAGTTGCTATTACAAAGTGTGGAATTGAGACCCAAATATCTGGACACCATATTCTAATCTAAGATTTTCTGTTGCACATGCCTTAGTAGTCTAAAAGTTATTTTATAAATAAGTGTTACAAATGGGAAATAGTAAAAAAAAAAAAAAGGTTTATCTGTGAAGAAAAGATTGATGTTTTAATAACAGGATTTTTTTAAAAAAAATCTTATTCTGGAAGACCAATACGAGTGACTAGTCTGTCACCTGTATTTCTTTCTGCCTTTCTTTCTAGTCTGAACTAGTCTTTTAAGATTTGGTCCAAAAATTAATTTATTTAGTATATAGACTTGTGTTCCTTTTACCAAGGAACGCTTATCATGGTGCTTATAGTTGTCCATCTGATCATGAGCTTCATCCTTAAAGGAAGTGAAAATGAGTGTTAAGTTAAGCCTGTGTCTCCAGGAAATGTCCTTCCTGTAGGCACCCTTCATGTGCCTTTCCTGAATCCATATTAGATCTCCTTTCACTGTGGTGCATGATGATGTGATACCATTTTAATTATTAGTCTCTCATACCTTTTTTGTATTTTGTTTGTAATGGCGTTGAGGTAAGATCTGTAGATTACGTAACATAACAGGGCTGATGATGAGTAAGGCATCTGTATGCTGGCACAGTAGCCGCTTTGTTACTGCTGGTGTGTGAAATTCTAAAGGAAGATGATACGTGATGTATGGTATTCACCTAGCTCCACTCAAAATTAATCTGACAAACTACCTGGCTTGATGGTCACACGCAAAGAGTTGTGGTCAACAGCTTGATGTCCAAGTGGAGACCAGTGACAAGTGGCATTCTGCAGGGATCAGTATTGGGACCGGTGTTGTTTAACATCTTTGTCGGAAACATGGACAGTGGGATGGAGTGCACCCTCATCAAGTTTGCCAACGACACCAAGCTGTGTGGTGTGGTTGACACGCTGAAGGGAAGGGATGCCATCCAGAGGGACCTGGACAGGCTGGAGAGGTGGCAAATCTCATGAAGTTCAACAAGGCCGAGTGCAAGGTCCTGCATGTGGGTTGAGTCAATCCCAAGCACCAATACAGGCTGGGAGGAGAATGGATTGAGAGCAGCCCTGAGGAGAAGGACTTGGGGGTGCTGGTTGATGAGAAGCTCAACATGAGCCAGCAATGTGCACTTGCAGCCCAGAAAGCCAACCGTGTCCTGGGCTGCATCAAAGGCAGCGTGTCCAGCAGGTCCGGGGAGGTGATTCTCTCCCTCTACCTCTGCTCTCGTGAGACCCCACCTGCAGTACTGCGTCCAACTGTGAAGTCCTCAGCACAGGAAGGACATGGACCTGTTGGAGCGAGTCCAGAGGAGGCCACAAAGATGACCAGAC